TCAACCAGCTCTAGCTTCCACTGTTTCTATCCTCTTTCTATCTATAATACCAAGTCTATGACTTGCTATAGCCTAGTCTCTTGTGTGCAACCCACAAGCATTATGGTTTAACATTGAACCAAATTAAAACAAGCCTCGGAAACAGCGTCAGCATGAATCTTCCAGTAAAGCCAATCGACAGTTGGTTAAGAGGAATCCGCCGTCGTCTTCTGGTGAAACCGACCTTCGAATCTCTTCACCCAACATTTCTACTCGAAATGGAAGTAAGCTCAATAATTATGAAACAAGAGATTCCTCGAAACCCAACTTTTCTTCGTATATGAAAAGTATATTCTACACCAATTTCGGGCAAAAATTATCGTTCATTGTAATAGTATAGTGTAAAAATGATTCGGGAACTACTAGAAACACGTGGGCCGAATCATGATACTAAAATCAAAAAGAAGTGCCTGGAAGGAAGATAAGATGATAGAAGATATGGGAAATTACGTCTGACTCTCGACTGCCTGTGAAGGGCCAGGCTTCTCAAGTTGCTGCTGAAATTGAACTTTGGCGTCGGTCGTTGAGTTATCATCAGAAAGTGACGAGATAGAACTGGCTCTAGGCCTCTCTTCAAGCTCAGGTCGGTAGTAGCGCTTACGGACGAGTTGGGTACTGGCAGAATTTGGCTGGGTTGCCGGGATTGTAGAAGCAACACTGGCCTTAGATGGTGAAGGACTAATGTTGTAGAACGAAGAGAGAACAGAATAAGTAGGTATATAGAAAAATATTATGGTGGTTAAATAATCAATAGAGAGATGGCCTAATGGTTAACGTGTTGAGATTATACGCTACAATATAACTGCTCGAGCCCCACAAAGAGGTGCTGATAGGACCGCAATTGCAGTGGACTTCAGGTGAAAATACTTTTGGAAAGTAAGGCTATGTGAAATTCAGTAGAAGTGTAAGGCATACTCACAGCAATGAAAAAATCAACTGCGAGTCCATCATCACCCAAACAAAAAATGGTAAATAAATATAGCCTACTTGGAAATTGTGCCATGTTTTTGAAAAGTCAACAAACGAAATTTATAAGCAAATAAGATCAATCGAAGGTATGAAGATCAAGATTATGTGGAGTTTTGTATAGCTGCGAAAACTAGGTCAAGCAACTGCTATACAAAAAATATAAATTGAGATGGAATAAATGTTTACCTTCTATTGCGGAATTTGATTTTAGCGTCGGCAACCAATGAAACCCCAGCCTCACGTGAATGCGAGCGAAGCCTGGATGATGAAGACGAAGAGGAAGGGGAAGAAGAAGCCTGTTTTCTGCGCCGGCATCGGGAAGAAATTGAAGGGGCGGTGGGAGAAGTGCTTGAACGGCCACGAGCGTGGCGCCGATTGGAGATTGAGGGACTCGAATTCAAAGGATATCTCGGAGCCTGTGGCATGACATGATTATAGTGCTGCTGTTTTTCGTTATGGTAATGCTGCTTTTGTTGCTTGAGAGAATGGAGTGGGTCATCCTCAAGTGAAACTGATCGAAGCCGAGGATGGGATTCATTAGGTATATGTCGAGAAGACGCAGAGCCAGAAAGATTAGTGGAGTTGGGCGGAATTGGTTGGCGAGATCGTGAGCGAGAACGACGAAAGGGACGAGAGTCGCTAGCAATAGTATCGGTGGTCTGAGACGACAAACTAGTAACGGGTTATGGTGTGAACACAGGGGAGTAAGAATTAAGCAAGAATAAGAAAAACCGGCATAAGAGTAAAAAATGAAAGTCCGAAAAATCTTAAAGGGATAAAGCAATCAGTACGGAATAAGAAAGTATAAAAATACACCAAAGTATATAAGCAACATAACAAAGCAAAGTTATTTGACTTCGCAATTTAGTGATATTGTCACGGAAACCCTGGGAAACGCACTTTGTCCAGAGTCCATATTACACATGACAATTTTAGAGCCGGAGCATGGACTTGGCACATTCTCAAATATTTTGTCGGCAGTCAGTGAACTTTGCTTCTTAGCACAACATTAGAAGTCGTCAGAGACAAGTGAAGTCGATCGCTTGACTGATTGTCTGCTGAACTGTTGTGGTATCTTTCCTGTCCTGATACATTCGATTGTCCTATATCTTTGTATCACCCCCTTCACTTTCACAATTTCTTACTTGCCTATTTAAACCTGGCTCGAACGTGATCTTTTGAGCGGGTTAAGGGAGGCGGAAAGAGAGATACCAAAAAATTTTAAGCAGACAATAGGTCAAATGATTGACTTCACTTGTCTCTTTGACGATGCCGATGAGACATCCGGGAATGTATTAAGTTCATGGTCCGACTTTAGAAATTATCATAGATACTATAGACTCGGGACAAAGTGCGTCCCTCTAAGTCTCCCGATAATACGATCACATTGCGAAAAGTGTCAAACAACTTATATACAACGAATGATAAATAAAGGCCACACCATTTTGACTGAATGCTTTTGATAAGATAAATACTTTTCCTCTAATGTATATTAAAAATATGTATTCCACAATTGATGAAAGATCGTTTAAGAAGAAACTGGTTTAAATCAAAAAGAAAAAGTTCGCTTGATGATTTGCGGGAAAATTAATTTTTTTTTAACATTTAGACTTCGAACTAAAGAAATTTAAATCGCGCTACCTTCTGCTAACGAAGGTACTAAATATAAAGAATAAAAATTGCTTACTTCGAAAATAAGTATTAAGAAATTTTCAATACAGGCATATTAGAAAATTGACCGAGTAACCTTAAAATAAACGATATTAGGATCCATGACGCTGTGAAAGAGAACAAAATTTGGAAGTCAGAGTTCTTAGTTAGGGTTAGTTACTAGAACTCTCGATTAATTGGGCTCCACAGGCAATGGTTAATTCCTTTATAAGATATGCTGGATGCACTTCGTCTGCATACATTAACAAAAATCTAGGCCACTAAGCGTTATTGGGCTTTTAACTTCAAAGAAAAAGTTGTATAGAGGGAATTCGCGAATCGACCCCACCAGAAAGCGATTTCCTTAAATTTTGTATATTCGACTATTCTAGGGATTTGCCACACTAACTCACTTAGGGATTCTTTGGACCCAGTTTTTCTTAATCTATGGCGTTATAGTGTAAAAAGTGTGATATCAAGGAATAAAACTTTACTTGGTTTTGGTCGAAATTTTCGCTATCATAGGCTATCGTAAAGTGATTTGGATCTTGTGAAATGGTCATAAAGAATAGATAAAACAAAAAATAAGTTAGAAGAGGTGAGATCAGCCTAGATGAACGCTTCTTTGTCAAACTAGTCATGATAATTTCCAGTGTCGGACGATAGGCTCGGTAGCTCCCAAGATGCTTCGCCGACAGAATATTTGGTATCGCCCGTCTTAGCACCAACCAAAAACGCGTCAGAGACAAGGGAAGCCCATTCCTTGACTAACTTACTGACGAGCGATTGTGATATCCCTTCTTCTGCCCTGAT